CTTTCTTTTTTTTGAGACAGAATCTTGGTCTGTCACCCAGGATGGAGTGTAGTGGTGCGATCTCCGCTCACTACAAGCTCGGCCTCCCGGGTTCAGGCAATTCTCCTGCCTTAGCCTCCCGAGTAGCTGGGATTGCAGGCACCAGCCACCATGCCCGACTAATGTATTTTTAGTAGAGCCGGGGTTTTACCATGTTGGCCAGGCTGGTCTTGAACTCCTGACCTCAGGTGATCCACCCGCCTCGGCTTCCCAAAGTGCTAGGATTACAGGCGTGAGGCACCACGCCCGGCCCACCTTTCATATTTTTTAAAAGCTCCCTGTAGCCGATGTGCGTAACCACTGAATAAATAAAAGGTCACTGCAATTGGTTAGTCAGGTTAAGTTTCACGAAAAAAGACTATTTTTAATCGGGATTTTTTTATTTAGCTAAAGGTTAATGAAAAAGATAAATGTAATAGAAGAACTGATTATCTAAATATATGATCCAATAGGAAAAGAAACAATAAATGTTTTGACCACAAAAAAAGGGAGAATAAGAACAGTACCTACGTGAATTTTAGACATTTTGTTTTTGAGGCAACATGCAAAACCAAAGTTTTGTAGGTAGTTGTGCAGACACAGATTTGGAAACATCTGGGAAATAAGTATAGGATCAATTTACAGGAAATTACAAGTATATTAGTGCATATTTGTATATAGCAGCTTTATTACAAATTATTATAATGTATGCTATGGAATAAGCTAAACTCAATTAAGAACTGGATGATAAGGCCAGTTATTTAATTTAGATGCTTTCAGGAGTCCCAAACTTTCAATCTAACATTATTGAAGTAATAGGAAGCTGGGAGTGTTATGTCTTACAAGAAGAGGTGAAGAGCTCTAAATTTCTCTCTAAAAATTAATAATCTATTTTCTATATATCCTATGATGCCCTGTTATGTCTGCCATGATCATAGTCAAAGGACAGATCCTGGCAATGAATGTGTGGAGTAACCAAACAAATGCTCCATTAATATTCAAAAAGGCCTTTTGTATAATACAGTAAAGATGTTTGTTCTTTTATTAGATTTGAAGAACACTGAAAAAGTTTGGAATGACACCTTAGCAACCCCCCAAATATTCCTCCCAGCTTCACTGAAGAGGTCCTAAAAAGCAGAATTTATTTATGTTTTCACAAAGAACCTTTATCTCAAGCATTAATTTTTCCAAAAGATTAACCTATCAAGAATTTCATTCTGGCCGGGTGCGGTGGCTCATACCTGTAATCCCAGCACTTTGGGAGGCCGAAGATGGATCACAAGGTCAGGAGTTCGAGACCAGCCTGGCCAACACGGTGAAACACTGTCTCTACTAAAAATACAAAAATTAGCTGAGCGTAGTGGTGGGTGCCTGTCATCCCAGCTACTCGGGAGGCTGGCACAGAAGAACTGCTTGAAGCCAGGAGGTGGAGGTTACAGTGAGCCGAGATCATGCCACTGCACTCCAGTCTGGGCAACAGGGCGAGACTCTGTCTCAAAAAAAAATTAGTCGGGCATGGTGGTGCACACCTGTAATCCCAGCTACTCCAGAGGCTGAGGTGCGAGAATCTCTTGAACCTGGGGGGGCCGAGGTTTCAGTGAGCCAAGATCGCGCCACTGCACTCCAGCCTGGGCCACGGAGCGCGCATTTAAAAAAAAAAAAAAAAATTGAGGTCCTTACATATTTTTCAACATTCAATGATAACTAAAATAAATTGCGATATACATAAATTTGTTTTGAGGGTAAATTACAGCACTGTGGTAAATTACATTGATCCAAAGGTCTGATTGTATTGCCTAATTAATAAAATATGAAAAAATCAAGACATTCTCAAAATACAACTGGAAAATTTCTACTTAGCTATACACCCAACACTGCTTTTACTGTTTTTCTATATATTATGATTAGATCTGTAGTCCCATACATGCACTGATTTTTCAAAAGAAAATCCCACCAAAATTTATAGGAATGGCCATGAACACTGAAAGAGATCATCACAGATATAAATGAATACGACTGCATTAAAAGCTGATTAAAGGGAAATGATGGCTCACCTGTATCTACAAGCATATTAACTGCTATTTTGGTGCTTGAGCAAATGAACACATTACTTTTAGGTTTTCAGAAAGAATGCAGCATATATTTCTCACAATTACTCTTATGAGCTGCTGAAAAAGAATTTTTTTTAGACCTAACCAAATAATGCCACAAATGCCACAAAGTTGAGAAAGTTCATTTTACCTCATTCTTTGTTATTTAAATAGAAATAATTTTGGAAAAATAGTCACTGTGATATACTCAATAGTAAGTATCGTAACGATTCCTGGAACTTACTACTATTAATCACCTGCAAAGCTCCTCCTCTCGGTCACGCCATCTTCTCCGCCTGCCTCAGCCTCCCGAGTAGACGTGGACTCACAGGCATCCGCACTAAAGTTTGCCTGACGGCTAATAGTTTTTTTAATAGTGTATGATTTTTTATATAAGTAGAGATGGTAAACTGGGAGCGAGGTTTCACCGTGTTAGATTCTCGACTGGAATAGATCTACGCAATCTTTACCTGACCTCGTAGAGAATACTGCTGGTCGAGTTTGTTTTATGTCCGTAATGCGCTGTTAGTGGCTCGATGAGAATGATAGGATAATCAGATTATAATGTAATAGAAAGGAAAACCGCAAATGTGGGCATCGGGTATAATGCTCTACAACATTTGAGAGATCCGAGCAGGTATTAAAAGGGGTTGTAGCCTCTCGGTTGTCCCTCGCGAAAAAGCAATTTATTTTTATGTTATCTTAACCAAAATAATATGTGGCCACAAATTATACAATAGGTAAGAAAGGGTATTCATTTGGTTGTTAACCAAGCTCCATTCTGTCTTGGCGTGAAATATATAGGAATGAATCACCACAAAATAATTTAGAAAAATTATCGACTAAGTGGATATACTATCAATAGTTAAAGGTTATGCGGTAGCGATTGATCCTTAGAACTTAACCTTACTATTAACTATATTAAGGACTGGCTCTAACGTAGGATATATGTAGCAGCAGAATAGTCTGAAGAAATGTCTGAAAATTACTGTAACTATAAGTACATATAATAAATACCAATTTACATGGCTCACACACACACATATACCGATAGTCCTGTGACTGACAATTCAGAAGTTCCCTTACAATTTATAGAATAGGCCTTCACAAGGCGGAGGTGTGAAAGAGAAACTATCGCTAAGAATGCTACAAAAAAATTGTTACTATTTTAGGGTTATACAGAAAAATAGCTTGCGGTAAATTAAAAGAGACCATATAAATAGCTCCGGGCGACAGTGTCGTCACAGCTCGCGAAACCCATAAGCGGTTATGAACCCCCAGCACATTAAAAATTATAGGGAGGACTGAGAGCAGAAGGTGGATCACCGAGGGTCCAGTGATCGAGGACCATCCTGGCTACACACGGAAACCCGTCTCTACTAAACAATACAAAAAATTAGGCCCGGACGATGGTGTGCGGGCACCTGTAGTCGCGCCAGGTACTCGGAGCGCTAAGTAGGAAAAATGCGTTCGAACCCAGGAGGCGGAGGCTGCAGCTGAGCCGAGTCCGCGCCAACTGCCACTCACCGAGCAACAGAGCGATGACCTGGTCT